TCAGTTTAAAAATTGACTTATTTATATATTTTCTTTTTTTTTTTTTTTGTTTTCTCCCTTAAAATTACATTACACAGAAAAATCGAAATGAAAGGTTGGATCTTTTATCATTTTAATTCTTTAAAGTGTAAACAGATATTACGTTTCGTACAAAGTGAGTATGTCTTCTTCGGACGATTAAATGAATGACATTTTTTCGTCATTCGCTTCGTTAATTGGTCATTAACCTAACATCATGCGTGTGTTGAAAATGTTTACAGTATGATACTCGTCGTGACGCAGAATCAACGTAGGATCGACGCGTAAATGATGAAACGGGGAAATTGCGTAGTTCGTATCTCGCATAACCATGTTCGAGCTATATCCCTTCTTTCGTGGAAAGGGTGTTCCAGGAGTAAATTATTTCTTCATGCATCCATTCTATGAACGTTAAACTACATCGAGTGTAATTGACAGATCATTTATTGAAAATGTAATTATATCGTTAAGTTTTCAAAGAAGTTATACAATAACAACAATAACAAAGAAAAAGGATGATATTTTCTGCAAGTATCTTTTTTTTTTATGATTACGTTGCTATAACAATGAATTATGTTGTCATGTTTCATTGAATTTACTTTTTCATCTATTCCCCGATGACGTTCGTTATACTCATCATAAATTTATTCTCTGTCTTTCTCTATCTCTCTTCCTCCTTCTCTCTGTCTCTCTGTTCATTATTTTGTTTGGAAGTAGCACGTGATGCGATCGATCGTAGAGTTCGTTCAAGAGAAAGAACATAAACGATAAGAATAATATCCCTATCGAGAATTCGCGAAATTCATCAAAAAGACGTATCTATTAAATTCCTAAATATTTTTTGTTTCTTATCGTTAGTCATCCTACAATCGATTTCTCTCTCTCTCTCTCTCTCTTTCTTTCTTTCTGAATAATTCTTGAATTTCTCGGCTCCTGAATTTTTCAAGAATAACTTGAAAGTTCAAAATGTCAAATGCATGAATCCAAGTACTTGGTTTTCCAACGATAGAGTTTAATTTAATACTTCGAGGCTAGACAGATAAAATAGACTTCGACTCACTTACTATCAGCTACTATGATCTCTTCACCTGTTATGCTCTCTCTTTCTGTCTGTCTGTCTATCTATCTATTTATCTATCTATCTATCTATCTATCTATCTATCTATCTATCTATCTATCTATCTATCTATCTATCTATCTATCTATCTATCTATCTATCTATCTATCTGTCTGTCTGTCCCCTTCTTTTTCTTTCTCCTTCTCTCTCTCTCTCCCCCCTTTCTCCATCTCTCTCTCCCATTTCTCCCTCTCTCCCTCCTCTTTCGCTTTCCCCTGCAATTCCCATTCACGTTCCTCTTTGAACGATATCGCTTCTAAGCCGACTTGCGCTTCGACTGCTGCTGCTGTTACTGCTGCTGCTGCTGCTGTTGCTGTTGCTATTGCTGTTGCTGTTGCTGTTGCTGCTGCTGCTATTGCTACTGTTGCTGTTGCTGTTTCTGTTGCTGCTGCTGCTTTGTCAATTAGCCCATCAATTTCGCACAGCATTAATCGTTATCTCATCGATCCTCTCTCTTGCAAATGCTCATCCCGTAGCTTATTTATTCGACGAATAAGAGAGATATATGCCGATAACAGAATATCCGTGTGGTTTGTGTATCGGACGCATCGAGGATTATTTCACGTTAACAGTATTCGTTTTTAACGTTATAATAGATTTTTTTGTTTGTCTAAAAAAGAAAAAAGAAAAAAAAAAAGAAAGAAAGAAAAAAAACTTGATCGTCTTAATTAAGATCATTTCTTCTTTTTTCTTTTTTCTTTTTTTTTTAATCTTTTCTCTCTTTTTTCCTTCGGTAGAATTTCAAATAGTTTCTTTAAATGTTAGTTATACCAATTTGAAGATTGAGAGGAAAGAAGGTGACTGGAAAGTTAATAAGTAGATATGTACAGTCTTATTATATAATTAATTATAATTGAGTGCGTGTGTCTATATATGTGTGCACGCGTTAGTATAATTATCGCCTTAAGATAATTTCTCCCTTCTACCTTCTTTCTTTTTTTTTTTTTCGTTTTCAGAATTTCAGATAGCCCCTTAAAATGTTAGTTAATCCATCTAATCGATAGATACATAGAAAGTGAAGTATAGCATATATATACGTATATATGTATGTATGTATGTATATATGTATGTATATTTGGTATAGTTTCGAATTCGATCGATGAAGCTTTTTCGTAAACTAGTTTCCTTCGAAACTCGATCACAGCCATGTCAGTGGTTATGGCCATGATGGTAGGTTCCCACTCAAAGACTTCATCCGAAGCTGTTCAGCGGTTAATCCTATTTGATGTATAGTCGGATTATTAAGAGCCCGTGTCTATCTTTCTCCGTGACTTCGTAAGATATTTTAACGATAGATCAATAATGTGCGTGTGACAAAGAGGAAGGAAAAATTAAACACAATTTTTTAGGTACACTGATGTACCT